TAAGCTATTCTAACACCCCCCCTCAAGCTGGAGCATATAGGTTGTATGCACCAAGCTTGGAACATAAAAACTGAATGCGAGGCCCCCTCAATGACTTATTCATAACATCTGCAAGTTGTTCATTGGATGTGACAAATTCAATGACAATTTCCTTAGATAGCAGCTTCTCTCTAACAAAATGACAGTCAACTTCTATATATTTAGTTCTCTCATGAAATACTGGATTGGAAGCAATGTGGATCGCAGCCTGATTATACAATACAATTTCATTGGATGACCTTCACAAAATTTTAACTCTTGAAGAAGTTGCTTAATCCACATAAGTTCACAGGTAATTAAGGCCATAGCACGATATTCAGCCTCAGCACTGGATCGGGCAACAACATTTTGCTTCTTACTCTTCCAAGATATGAGATTTCCACCTAGGAATACACAATAGCCAGTAGTGGAATGTCGGTCTATAGGACAACCAGCCCAATCAGCATCACAATAGCCAGAAATGTGGCTATCTCCTTTGTCCTCATACAATAATCCTTGTCCTGGAGCCTTTTTGATATATCTAAGGATACGTAAAACAACATTCCAATGATCAATATAGGGGCCTGCATGAATTGGCTAACAATCCCTACTGCAAAAGAAAGATCAGGTCTTGTAATTGTAAGATAAATAAGCTTCCCAACCAATCTTCTACACCTCTCTGGGTCTGTAAATAATTCACCTTGATCAGCCATCAACTTTTGGTTAGGATCTATAGGACTATCAATGGGCTTGCAATCCAACATGCCAGTTTCCTTCAAGATATCAATAGTATATTTCCTGTGAAATCACAATGCCTTCCTTTGATTGAGCAACCTCAATACCCAGAAAGTATTTCAAATGTCCAGGTCTTTAGTCTGAAAATGGCTAAACAAGTGTTTCTTCAACTGAGAGATTGTAATTGCATCATTTCCTGTAATCACTATGTCATCAACATAAACAATCAAATAAACACAACTCCCAGGCGAAGTGTGACAATAGAATACTGAGTGGTCTGCTTCACTTCTTTTCAACCCAAAATTCTGCACCACATGACTAAATTTTCCAAATAAAAATTAAAAATAAGATTTTCGACGGAAAATTCCGTTAGAAATTTCTGACGAAATTATTTTTCCGTCGGAAATTTTCGATGGAATTTTCTGTCGGAAAGTTTCTATCAGAAACTTCCGACAGATTTATATTTCCGTCGAAAATTTCCGACGGAAAATTTCTGACGGAAAATTCTGTCAGAAATTTCTGACGAAAATATAAATTCGTCGGAAATTTCCGACGGCTTCATATCCGTCATGTTACATTACAAACCATTCAAAACTAATTACAATAACGTACTTATTTACAAACTATAGTTTTTCATACTCCTACTATAGTATTTACATGTCAGGTTGATATAAGTTCACTATTGGATTAACATGATTCGTTGGAGGTAAATAAAAAGTGACTACTATCTGGCCATCTATGATAATGGGATTTTGTTGGGTGGGTGAAAATACAAAAGTTGATAATCCTATCCCCTGAAATGTAACGGCATTTGTAGACGTGTCAATACCCCAACCGGTACCCGGAAAAATTGTAGTAATAACGGAAGTGAAAGGGCCTGTTACGGTTGGTAGATCCATCTATTTTTCATTATATTTAATTAAATATTTTAAACAAGAAAAATAAGGAGTGAGAACAATTATCCAATAAATATTAATAACAATATGCATAGAAATATTTAATATTAATAAATATGTATTAATTATTCTAAAATAAAAATTTGAATTATACTTGTAGTGAGTAGTCAGGATAAATGAGCATTATCATAATATCAACTAACAAAAAGGATATTTCACCTTAATTCCTTACTCATTTAAATCCCCAAGTTAAACCTCCAACTATAAATTAATTCAAACTTTATCTTCTATGGCCATAGATCAATATTTACATTCATAAATACATGAAGAAATAACAACAAGACGAGTCCAAGATATCAAAATTATATTATAGTTGATTATAAAAAAATATATTAAGAATACCAATCATATAAATAAAAAATGACATTCATTATGAAATAATTAAACAACATAAAATATGAACACCATATTACTTATGATGGGTAAAAATAATCATAGATTAAACAAATAAATGAGGTTAGGGACACCTCACTAAATAAATATACATAGAAAATAACATAAATAAATAAACATAGTAGTATATAAAATTTTAAAGAGATAAAGTTCTCTTCCCCCTTACCTTAAGATAAGTAAAATTGCTATGTTTTCACTCTTTGCTTTCCCGTCTGTTTTCACTCTTTTCGTTTTCACTCTTCTTTCCATGTTTTCACTCTTTTCGTTCAATTTTTTTTTACTCACTCTGTGGAATAGAAAGATGTTATTTATAGATAGTTGGTACCACCCATTACGCAATATGTATACGTAATCACGTAATCTATATTACGCTTTCATTTGTATATGCACCATACACGTATATATGGCTTATCTATATTAAGCTCTCATTTGCATCTGTACCATACACGTATATATGGCTTTCATTTGCACCATACACAGTTTTTTTTACTGGTTGTTGTTACGCACTATTTCACATTAATTTTGTAGGTTTTGTAGATAATGATATAAATACAACTTATTTAATTGCTATAAATTTAAAAATATAGAACTCTGGCATGACTTGAAACTATGACTTGGAACTTGTAGTTCTTATACATAGCTACACAACCATTGAACCATTCCATCTTATATTATAATAAGTTGTTCTGTATCTACTTGTAAGATATTATAAATATT